ATGATGAGACCAGTAACAGAGGAGACTGAATCAGGTGCCAAGTCCTATTCGTCAGTGTAGGAGTAACTTCTGTCCAGTAGAGGGTACCTATAAACACTTGTGCCTGAAGGATAAAGGAGAGTGCTGTGATTGCGGTGGGAAATAGGTGGCATTTTGTGAAAACTAGATCTTCCAAAAGAGGAGGTTAAGAAGTACAAAAAGCTCGTAGCTTCAGCAGAGTGAAGCTTGTGCTGGTTATAGGGACAGTGATCATTTGGGAGTTAGAAAGGACTTTTTTCCCCCCCTCCCTTAAAAATAGCTCATTGATACAGAATCTTTGAGCGAGCAACAGACTTCAAACAAATGCTTTTGGCAGTGACAACTACTGAAATAATGACAAGACTGAAATGTGGAATTACCTGAATTCTGAACAGAAAAGCAGGTCTTGGGAGAGAGCCAAGTTTGAAAAATGGTATTTCATGAGACTTCACATGCAGGCTATGTCAGAAATGTCTGCTATAGGATCCAAGTGAAAAGAAAACTTGGGGATGGGTAGTAAGTCTTGCATTTAATTAAAAGCTTTGTTCAGTGTTAAGTATCTGCTGAAGGCTTAATGGGGACTGAGTGCACATGGAGGACAGTTAGGTGGCCACAGTTGTATGCAGCACTTTTGGGAGCCACTAATAAGGAGGCAGGGCCCCCTCCCCCTTTTCTTTTTAAGCCACTTCTGAAGGAATATTGGACAAAATAATTTATTTTTATACATGTATAAACAGTTCATGTGGGGTTTTTATCAGCTCCTACCTGCATGCATGTACAAAACCAGTCTTCGCTAGTCTTGTTTCTGCTTTATTGTGCTTCTAGAAAAACAAACAACATTGAGAATGAACTATTGCACATGGGTTTTGCTACTTCAAATATATATATAGTCTCCCATTTATCCTCTTCATGTCCTTTGGACACGCATAGTATTTTAGGTGGGTTACTCTATTTCTGCAGTCTGAGAGAATGTCTCTTACTACATAGTAGGTAGAAGCAGCAAAACAGAGCAGGATTATGTGTGCATCTGTAATTTGGCAGTTGACAGTGGGGAAGATGCAGGGCTGTTTTAAATAGATGTCTTTTAGGTAAGTTGTGAGTTATACAAGAATAAGCTTTGTATTCAAGTAAGAATACTTATTCTCAGGATAGCTTTGGTACTGTCACTCCAGCACTCCGAACGTGCTAACCCCTTCCTGTCCTGCAGGCGTACAGTCTAATACGGCAGGCCTCTGCGTGGCTTCTGAGGGTGTGAGGTCCAGCACCCGGGTTGTATTCTCATGTGACAGCACAATAGAACTGGGAGAAGAATGTTAGAGTAAGGTCTGTACGCCTGTTTCTGAGAAGGAACCAGAGCAGTTTGTCTGGTCACTCAGAATTGTTCATTGGCTGTGATTAAAATTTGCTTTGTTTCTTCTTGCCCCCAAGCTGTCAACTTTGAGGAGGTAATGTGCTGCCTTAGTTTTTCCCTTTTACTGCAGCAAGCCTTCCCAGCTGCAGAGTAAGCTCAGTTTCACTGCAAAGCTGTCTGCAAAAGCCACTCACTGTAAACCACTCTTGGCACAAGAGTAATGGTAACAAATTTGTGTTTGGCTCTTGACTGACACTTCCGACAGCTAATAATAAAAACCATGCTGCTGATGTAAATGGATGCTCTATGAAGCTACTACCATCCCTTGATGGCCCAAGAACAGAAAACAAAGAACGTGCCCTTTTATGGATTGAGGCTGGAGCTTCATCACTGGTCACAGTTCCCTAAAGCAGTACTTCCTTGTTTAATCTGTAGTTACACTTGGGGAACTACAGTGTGTTTTCGGAATGTTGAGCTAGCTTTTTTGGAACTGGAGGTCAGGAGAAGCACAACGCTGGGAGTCAGCGTCTTCAGAAATGAAGGCTGAAACTACCATACTGTTACCATTGTCCCACTTCTTAAAGAGCACTTCCTCTGTCTGTCTCTGCAGTAAAGATGATGCTTCAAAATTATACAAAGTGTACCAACTGTTGGTGAACTGCTCTCGTCAACCACTTCCAGTTAGGATACTGGAATTAACTGGTAGTGACTTCAGGTCTTAACATGGGGAGTGGAAAACAAATGCTTACATGTAAGGTAAAGCTAGCCTTGCGACAAGAGAAGGCACAGAACTTTTCATAGAGACTGGCGTGGTATGAAGTCAGTACAGTCATTTGACAACAGATGGAGATAGGGAAGTAACTAGTTAAACAATACCTTACTTCCCTCCAAAGGAAGTTAGCAGAGTAATGGTCCAGAAAAACCTTTAATATATTACATTGCTCAGTGAGTTCCTCTCTAATTGCCTTCAGCAATTACTTGGTTTCATATTGAAAATAACTAGAAGAACAGTAACTCTGTAATACGGTCTCTTGATTTCTCAAGATACAATTACCCTTTTTCTTCTCTTCCGTTCAGCCAAAACAGAGTGGAATATGAAAAGAGGGTTCGAGCACAAGCCAAGAAGTTTGCACCATCATAAGCATCTGTCATGCAGCATCTTAAAAAGGAAGGGATTGGTTTGGCAAGAACTTGTTTACAAAACTTTTGCAAAATCTAATGTTGCTATGTACAATTACTATCCACTTAGGGGAGGGGGTTGTATGTGTGCCATTTTCCATATTCGCCACTTGTATACAGTTCTAAATTTGCTGAATTGCCCCCAGTTTTTTCATACAGGGTCTCTTCCTTCAGTCTTTTGTATTTTTGATTGTTATGTAAAACTTGCTTTTATTTTAATATTGATGTCAGTATTTCAACTGCTGTAAAATTACAAACTTTTATACTTCTATAAATTCACTAGTATCTCTAGTTCCTTTGCTCTCTGATGCAGGCATGCTTTAAAATGTTAGACCTATATTTAGCCTCTAGCTGGCTGTATGAAAAACAAACAAAAATCATGTCCTCCACCCCCTTCCCTCCCTGAATTTGTTTTTCTATCTTTGAGAAACTAGGTTGTTACTGCTTAAGAGCCTCCAAGATCCAAAGTCAGCCAGCATCCTTACTCTGCATCACTTCCTTTGTGTTTATATGGCATTCTGTCTGTGTTGCTGTTTAGAATAAATAAACTGTTTATATAAAGGGCTTTGTTTCATCTGTCTTCATTGAAGTGATTAAAAGATTGCCATTTAAATGGCTCTGAACACAATTCAGTGCAAGTCCTGTTTTTAAGGCCTGTGATACTGCACTTACTTACATTTTGTCTAGAGGTTGCATTCATCTGTTTTTCCTGCCTCCAACCCCAAAATGAATGCAGCCCCTCTTTGGGCTCTGCGTGGCAATCGCAGCTATTCAACTTTGAGTACGGAATTCTCACTAGCTAGAGACCAGTTGCTTACTGTGCATAACGAGATCAACGTGCTGGTGTGACCACATTAACATAAAACAACACAAGCATTAGACTGATACGAACAATAATAGGCTGTCCAAGGAATGCAAGGGGACCTACAGCAACTGGGGATTTTATATGCTACTTCTTTATCAGGAATACTTCTGTGCCTTCTTCCGTATGTCCGTGTATAGAGCTTTTAGGAAAAGGACGTGCATAATGCAGTTAAAGTTCCCTTCTGTAACGGAAAAGTGAAATTTACATTATGTAAGTTGTTTTCCTGTATGTCAAGCTGATATGCCCTCCATTAAACTTTCACTGCTTTTTAATTGTATTTTTTTAGTTAAAATAATTCTGCAAAACATGAAGTGTAAAAAGCTTTGTTCTGAGTTGTAGCTTTTTCAGTGCTTTTTTTTTTTTTTCCCCTGTTAAAAAAGGCTGCTGCTGGAGACTCAAATGTGCCACAGCTCTGTTCTCAGATCTGTGTCTCAGTTCTGCTTGTCTGCATTTGATTAGGTGATAGCTTTAGGACATGGAAGCTCTCCCCAGATTAGGGTAGGTAACACCCTCATGTTCTTCTCAGTCCTTGAAAAATTGTTTGTGTAGGATCACTTCCTTGTCACAATACACAAATCCCTGTTACAACAGCTCAGGCGGGAGAGGCTTCATGTGCTTGGGGTGGGAAAGTGAATAACTGACAGCAGTTGAAGGAAAAGAGTCACCATAAAATTCATTTACTTATGGATTTTTTTTTGTAAGGCAAATGGAATATTTGTACCACTAAAACCACTGCTGTGACTCCTAATTTTGTCTCAAGTAGGCTTAGCAGTGAATCCCAGAAGAGGGGTGAGGTGAAAATCTTGCTGTGACTTGAAGAGCTTGTATATATGAAGGTAACACTATAAATTGTCCTCACTAGCTCCAATTCTACTCAAGGGTTGTTGAAGTTTAGGTTTAAAGAAGCTGGAAACTCAGAAGAGCATTCCATTTGAATGTACGGAGAAAAATTGCTAATAGCTGCACTTTTGCTACACCCTGGTAGGTGTATGGAAAAGTGAACCAAGATACTAGTGCTGATGAGAATCTCTGACTCACAGCTTCAACGAGCAGGCAGCAGGTATTTCTGACTTGGCAGCGTCACTTCAAGTAGAGAGAGGGAGAGAGTGCTGCTGAAACCGCTACACGA